GTGAGTGAGGCGGCTGCCGGGTCTCGGTTCTTTGGTCGTCGGCGTCTTGGGTCCTCTCTCTCTCTCTCTCTCTCTCTCTCTCTCTCTCTCTCTCTCTCTCTCTCTCTCTCTCTCTCTCTCTCTCTCTCTCTCTCTCTCTCTCGCTATTTCTTTCTCCCTCCTTCCTTCTCAGCTAACAAAACTGAATTAGAAATAAGAGAAAGAGATAATCAAAATTATGATAAAAATGAAGAGTAAAAAAAACACTTAAAATATGTGCCGGGAGAGCAGAGTACAATTAGGTTTGTTATGGTGGAGGCCGGCGGAGCATGTGGAGGAGGGAAGTGGCTGTTCCGGAGTGATGGAGGCTCGGTGGAGATGAGGTGAGGGAGGGGGGGGGGGCGAGGGCAGGGGGGCGAGGACGACGGATGGGGAACAGGGGAGAAGGGCAGGATAATGGCGAAGGGAAGATTTAGAGAAGACGAGAGAAGGGAGGGAAGAAAGTGAAATAAGTGAAGTTTTCTCTTTTCTTCATTTTTTAAATCTTGCTTCTTCTCATTTCCTTGCATCTGTTTCTTCTTATTTTTTATTTCTATTCTCTTTATACATATTCTTCTTCTTACGATACCAAAATCATAATAATAGTAATAATAATAATAATGATACTAATAATTGATAATGATAACGATAATGATAATAATAATAATTATTGTCATTTTTTATTGTTATTATTATCCTCCTCCTCCTTCCCTTCTTCCTCCTCCTCCCCCCCTCCCTCCTCTTCCTTTCCCTTCTCCTCCTCCTTCTCTATATCCTCCTCCTCCTCCTCCTCCTCTTCCTCCTCTTCCTTTCCCTTCTCCTCCTTCTCTTTATCCTCCACCTCCTCCTCTTCCTCTTCCTCCTTTCTCCCAGTTACTCCTATTTTTTCATGATGAGACGCACATATGTGTCAGGGATATTTATGACGAAATATGAATAATGACGCGAACCATTTCTGAAAGCATAGCTACAGAAGTTTCTCTTTTCGTTGAAAACTGGGTTTCGTGCCCGTAGACTCTAGCTACCAAACCCATACTCCCGGGAAAAAAATATTTATAATATCGATAATGATGTTACTCTTGGTCGCATAGCAGCGATGATTCATTTAAAAATATCATCGAATATGAAAGTTCAACAGAGTCTCTCGTAATTAAAACAACCCATCTAAAGTAAAATATCTCGACAGGGCAAATCCCGGTTAAAACAAACGCAAAAACAGCAAAGACAAAAGGGATTATCGGTTATGATAATGCTACGCAGGATTTCATTAGCGGCTGTTCATCGGGGATCGGGAAAGATTAGAAGTCTAATCATTGGATTCGATTCATCCGATGGTTTCGTCATGACGTTAATGAATATCGGTCCGGGAATGAGCCGCGGCGGGATCAGGCCGCACATGCACACGCACATGTATACGTGTGTGTGTGTATATCTGTATATATTTATGTATGTAGTTATGTATGTATGTGTATGTGTATATTTGTATATTTGTATATTTGTATATTTGTATGTTTGTATGTTTGTATGTTTGTATATTTGTATATTTGTATATTTGTATATATGTATATATGTATATATATGTATATATATGTATATATATGTATATATATATATATATATATATATATATATATATATATATATATATGTATATATATATATATAATATATAATATATATAAATATATATAAATATATATAAATATATATATATATATATATATATATATATATATATATATATATATTTATTTATTTATTTATTTATTTGTGTGTGTGTGTTGATGTATATGTATCATCATCAACAATGGTAACAGTATTAGTCCACATTCCCATTATAGTCATCACTATCGTCTTTATTATCACCATCGCTTTTATTATTGATCTCATACACTCCTCGTGAACCAAGGGAAGAGAAGGAAAGAGAGGACGGGAGACAGACAGACACGGGCAGACAAGAAATGGAGAGAGAGAGAGAGAGAGAGAGAGAGAGAGAGAGAGAGAGAGAGAGAGAGAGAGAGAGAGAGAGAGAGATTGTTAAAATTGAAAGAGCAGACGCGGTCTTAAAAGGACGTTCCCTAGTTTCGTCAGCTCACGTGGCCGTTGGTGTGACGTGGAAATATCATAACAATTTCTTAATTACAGGCTTGGTATCTTGGGCGGGAGGGGCGGGGGTCAGGGGATAAGGGAGGGGGCGAAGGGGTAAAAGGAAGGAGAATCGAGGAGGACGGAGAGATACGATGAAGGGTGGGGGGGGGGATGTGGAGTGAGGAGGGGATGGGGGTGAGATGTGATGAAGGCGGTGAGGAAGGATAAGGAATAAGGGGGAAGTGGAAGATAATACAGGATTAGGGGGTGAGGAGGGGAACGAGTGGAGGGGGGGGGGGAGGAGCTCAGGGTTGTGGGAGAGAGTTAAGCTGTGTGTGGAGGGGGGGGGGCGTGGGGAAGGGGGAGAAGACCGACTAGATGGGCGGCAGGTGAAATTATTCATTCATTTTATTATATATTTATTTATTTATTTTTATTTTTATTATTTTTTTTCTAAGATTCTCTTTGAGCAAAGAATGCATATGAAACGATCGCTCCGCCGGCCTACACCAAAACACTGGATTAGGAAATGTTTGTCGAGGGCGCACATCAGGCCTCGACGTGAGGGATTGGCCGAGTCTTGAGACGAGAGCAACTCCGGAGACGCAGCGGAATAATACTCACTCGTGACGCGAAAAAAAACTATCTGAGTGTCTCCTCATAAATCTGTCTGTCTGTCTGTCTGCTTGTCTGTGTGTCGCTATGGCGGCTTATCTATAAATGTATGTCTGGCTGTCTGTGACAAGATAGTAAGAAAGTATACCAACGTACCAATATCAATATCAGTACCAAGTTTTATGAATATATCAAGTTCAGGTAGATAATGCAATTTGATAATATTTTTGTTTATATCAGATGATGGCAAATTTTATAACAGGAACGGGAGAAAAGGCGGAATCAGAGAGAGAGAGAGAGAGAGAGAGAGAGGAAGAGAGGAAGAGAGAGAAAAGGTCAAGTTAAAAAAGGTCTTTCTGTGGGGCTTAAAATAGCGACAACAGCAGGAGAGTCAAGGAGAGTTGCTATTGACCGAGCGAAATGAGTAGTCTAATGGAAATAAAAGTCCCATTAACAGCGAAGATAATAGCAACGATGAAAGCCAGTTTTTACCTTAACCAGGATCATGATGAAAGGGAAGTCCATTCGTTCGGTCTGAGAAAGGTGTCTACGAACTAGGCCTGTGTGGACCATTTGCGAGACGATTATCGTTTTTGTGGAGGATCTTTTTATTTCATGCTGGAGTATGTTTGCCATTTTTCATCTGTGTGTGTGTGTGTGTGTGTATGTATGTATGTATGCAGTTGTCATTGGAGTTTTCAGGAAGGAGGGGGGAGGGTGGGGTTGGTGGCATAACAGGGATCCACGCCAGAGTTAGGTATTGACCGTGGCAGCTGTGGTGGAAAGTCGGGAGTGCCACGCCCCTGGCACCCCTCCCTCCTTCCCTCCCTCCTTCCCTCCCTCTCCTCGTCCACCTTTCCTCCCTCCTTTTGCTCCTCCACTTCCCCTCTCCCCTTCCATCCACTCCTTCCCTTCCTCTTTCCTGTCTGCCTCTTCCCTCTCTGCCCTTCCTTCCATCCTTTTCTTTTCCCTCCTTCTTTTTCGCCTTCCCTCACTCCCTCCTCTCTCTCCTCCTTCCTTCCCCATTTTCTTTTCCTCCCCCCCCTGCCCTTTCTCTCCCTTCCTTCCTTCCCCCCCCCCCCAGTTCCTTTTCCAGCATCATCATGACACTCGCATCCCCCCCCCCCCCTCCCCGCCCTACAACCCCACCACCAACCTCCTTCCCTCCTCATCAACTCACTTCTTCAAAATCTAAAAGAAAATGATATGAATGAAAAAGAATGAAAATGGGCGAAAAGAAGGTAGATGAAATGGAATGACAAAAGATGAAAAAGTCCCACCTCTTTCTGCTTCCTCCGCCCACGAAAACTATATATGGCGGCGCCAGAGAGACTGGAGGCGGCGGAGGCGGCGCGGCACTCCGCCCGCTGGAATTCATAGGGAGGGGGAGGGGGGAAGGGGGAGGAAGGGGAAAGGTGGAAGTAGTGGAATAGGAAGAGGAAGAAGAGGAAGAGGGATAGAAGGAGGTGGAGGCGAAATGAAAGAGAGGGAGGAGAAGGAAGAGGAAGAGGGGGAGGAAGAGGAGGGAAATGTAAAGGAGGTGGAGCAGGAGCAGACTGAAGAATAGAGAATAAGAATCAAAAGAGAAAGAAAAAGCCGACGAGAAAGGGGAGGAAACGAGGGTCAGCGAGCGAGCGATTTTCCCCGCCTGCTGACCCGCCCTCGCCGAGGAGGACTGGCTCCTCCTCAGGCCGCTGCTCCTCCTCCTCCTCCTCCTCCTCCTCCTCCTCCTCCTCCTCCTCCTCCTCCTCCTCCTCCTCCTCCTCCTCCTATTCCTCCTCCTCCTCCTATTCCTCCTCCTCCTCCTCTTCCTCCTCCTCCTCCTCCTCCTCCTCCTCCTCCTCCTCCTCCTCCTCCTCCTCCTCCTCCTCCTCCTCCTCCTCCTCCTTCCTCCTCCTCCTCCTCCTCCTCCTCCTCCTCCTCCTCCTCCTTCTCCTCCTCCTCTCCTCCTCCTCCTCTCCTCCTCCTTCTCCTCCTTCTCCTCCTCCTCCTCTTCCTCCTCCTCCTCCTCCTCCTATTCCTCCTCCTCCTCCTCCTCTTCCTCCTCCTCTTCCTTCTCCTCCTCCTCCTCTTCCTCCTCCTCCTCCTCCTCCTCCTATTCCTCCTCCTCTTCCTCCTCCTCTCCTCCTCCTCCTCCTCCTCCTCCTCCTCCTCCTCTTTCTCCTCCTCTTTGTTCTCCTCCCCCTCTTCCTCCTTCTCCTTCCTCTTTCCTCCTTCCTTCTTCCTCCTCCTCCTCCTTCTCCTCTTTCTCCTTCTCTTCCTACTCCTCTTCCTTCTTC